CAGTGTTGTACAAGTACACTGTACAGCATCAAATGATGGGATGTTATAATGCATAATGAATTGGAAAGGATTTGAAAGGAAGTGGTCTTGGCATAATTTGAGATATCATCCAGGCATTGTACCTGGAAGGTTTGAGGATAACTGTGAATAACCTCAGTCAAGATAGTCAGTGTCCCAGTGGAGATACAAACCAATCACCACTTGAATACAAGTCAGACGTGTTACCACTCGAGCCAGCCTGCTTATGTAAAGTTCTAATATAACACTTATCAGTAATTGAAGTTTTTGACTGTAATTGCCTTATTCAATAATTCAGCATCTACATTTGAGGATATATGATGCAATATTGGTGAAATTGGAATGAAATGATCAGAGGATAGAGGATTTTCGTAAGCATACCTGGTCAGATAGAGAGTCTGAGGAGATAACAGATGGGTTTCTGGTCCCAGTTCTAACTGGAGTGTATCATGGCATTTCCAGTTTGCAGTAGGAACATGAGCTGGAGGCTATAATTTGATATCAGGATTCCTTTTTCCAAATTCTACTTAAATTTAGGTAGTTAAATAGATGTAATTACTTAACAATCTTCCGGAGGAGAAGTTTCTTTAACATACCTGAAAGTGTAAGCGATTAGTATGAATAATAAATTGATTGCTAGGGCTGAAAATATGTATGAAAGTTAGTTTCTGTGATGTTATAGCTTTGTAACCAGTATCAACTTTAAGTGCAAGCACAACCAGGTTAACTATACGAGGGTGTACCCAAAAGAAACTGAACTTATTTTTTTTTTAAACTTATTTATTCAAATTTTAAGCACAAACCTTCAATCCCCTTCAAAGTACTCTCCACTTACACTAATACACTTGTCTAGTCTTTTATTCCATTTTTCAAAACATTGTCTAAATTCATCTTTTGAGATGCTTGACAGCGCCTCCGTCGTTTTTTTCCTTCACCTCAGCAACATCAGCAAAACGCTGAAAAAAAGTTTTGATCATTTCGGGACTCTTCTTTCAAAGCACAGCATGCTTCCACGTGACCTTGTTTTTGTTCAGCAGTCAGCAGTCGTGGCACGAATTTCGCAGCCACCCTTTTCATTCCCAAATCTTCTGTCAAAATTCGCTGAACTGAGCTCCAAGTCACTCCCGACAGCTCCACAATTTCTTCAGTGGTCCGTCGTCGATCTTCCTTGATGATTTCACGATTTTTTTCAACATTTTCATGTGTCTGGGCCATTGCAAAAACGACCACACAAAACAGTTGTCACTATAAACTCTGCCGAAACTAGTCCTTACCTTCTGAAGCAACGGTAGTCGGCTTATCGACTCAGGAATGTTAGCTCTATGCGCTCATAGCGGCAAAACGCGGTACTACAAAAGCTCTGCCCACAAAAAAATTAGTTCGGTTTCTTTTGGGTACCCCATCGTATATACTTAAAATTTATATTTTATTGGAAAACTGTAAGTATTCAGAAATATTAACGTTGTTTAGGGACGGGGCTAAATCATTTTTGTGCCTAGTTCATAGTTTTGAGATTGACTTTCTTTAAATAAGAAAGAAATAGTTACTATTTAAAAAGTATGATTTCTGTGTTTTAATTTAAGTGTTCATCAGGTAAAAATCATGATATAGAACTGTTGCCTTGAAACTTTTACATGTATAGTCCTTACATCTTGTAGGTGTCTCACATTGCATTTTCTATCTTCTGATTCATTCTCTTATAGTTTCATGCTGCTATTTATTTCTGTAAGAACAGAGATCTCATTTCCTTCAATTTACTCTAACTTAACATTGTTTCTTGCTATGTCACATGTGAGAGTTGAGAGTTTTTTTTTTTGTCATTTACTGACTACTCATTGGATAGCCAAAAGCTGATTCCTGTTCATTCATTTCCAAATTTCTGGAATATAGTGTTCCAAAATCATTAACTAATATTGGGAAGTGAGCCATAATCTGCAGTAACTTGGTACAGCACATGAGTTTGATTGGAATGCCCAAATTTTGTGAGGGTCACCACCAGCTGTATTTCACTGTATAGTCAGAGAAATTACACAAAGTCTCCTTCCATATTGTACTTTTAAAGAAAGTTGCAAGACTCTCTGGATCAATTGTAGTATATGTGAGCTTAACAGAAACGTGAAAGAATATCAAGAAAGATAAGGCAAGGTTCATCTTAAAACTCACAGCCTAGGTACAGAATGAACCATGTCTTCATATTGACTTGTCCCAAGTACATACTGTTCATTGTCATGAAATGTACCGCATATATGTTAATCGATAATTGAGGAATTTTAAGTAAACAGAGTATAGATCTGTAAACCTGTATTGGTATTTTCCATTCCTTGATATCTGATGTATCCAGCCAGACTAAATGATTCACTGATATCCTTCCTGTTTCTTTCTTTCACTTCCTCTGGACATATAATCACTTCTAACTGTGTGAAAATATCTGTAACTGGCTTCCCATTTTTCATGGTATACTACCTAATTTTCTTTTGCTCACCATTTAATTATTGCTGAGGCGTGGTTGATTGATAATGGGGGCTGGGCTCTGGTTCAGTTGCACATGTGTATTCACGTCATGGAGGCCAGGGAATGAAAGGGATAATTTCTGAAAACAAATGATATTATAAGCATGTGAATCATGTACTGTGTTGACAGGAAACAAGGGTAATTTGAAGTAAAAGGCTTTTCTCCTTGTACCAGAAAGAAGTTGTGAATTTGAACACTGCAGTCACATATCTCATGTAGAGACCCATGTAAGGGGAATATTAAAAGTGAAGGGACAGGAGTTAAAAGGTGCTTGTAGTATGTGTGGCTTACAGGCAGGTCCTTGTATGACATCCTAAGATTGAATATCTTGACCATCTTCCTCAATTACTGACAGAAAACTGGGGGATTAGCTTCATGTACTAAGAATGTGTCATCTCACATGAATCATTCTGTTCTCAGTATATTTTATATTCCTTATTGTCATGAAATCTTCCTCTCCCTCATATTTTAAGTTTAAACTCGAGTCATGTGAGTTTTAGAAGTAAACACATTACATGATTTCACCTGCACACATTTCCTATGTGATAATCTGCTTCATGTTATTTGTTACACCCTTATATAAGTATAAAAATGGTGAATGTGGAGCTTTAAGCATTCACATTCCCACCCCTTTTCAGTGCAGTCCATCTGGATTATAGTTCTGATACTTTTGAGTTTGTTCATGGTAAACATAATTTGTTCATTGCTGACACAGCAGATTTCTTGGTGTGTCTGTACAGTCCTGTGGATGGGTTCTTGCACATTTTAGTAGCTATAGTTTCAGTTTCAGTGTTGGTTTCATGATACTTTCTGGTATCCTTTTCTTGGTGCTTCAGTTCATGATTCATGATGTCGTAGATAAATTTAAAGTGAGCCGTAAGTTTCACAAGATCATTATTTGGCAGTGATTGATGTTTGAATTGTGATCCCGACTTCGTATCTTATGAAATATGGAGGAGGTTAGGTATATATGTAAACACAGTTTGTAGGGGAAGAATGTGGGTTTAGGTCATGCTTTGTATGGGTAATGTGCTACAAACTGATTTTTCTGGTGTTACATATGTGTAAAACAATGATCAGGGTACATATTTTCATATATTTTATATGGCCATCATGTATCAAACAGAATTATCTTGAAATATTTTTCTAGTCTATGTTCAGCCATATGAAATTTGATATCTGTGGGGAAGTTCAAATTTGTATACTTTCAAGATAAAATTTATTGTTTCTGTTGTGATAATCTTATTCATGAAACAAGTGCAGAGAAATCTTAAACTTTTAGGAGGCATGTTTACAGCATATATTTTTGAGTTAAAGGCATTCTGATTTTAATTTTCTGCATCTTGTAATGACTGATATATGTGAAATAAAATTGGAGACTACTGAGTGTGATATTGCAGTGGGGAACAGGGTTGAAGAGTTACTAGCATGTTGTATATACAAAATTGGTAATTTTATAAAGGTGAATTATCCTCTGTTAATCATTCTAGATAAAATGGTGATGTATTTTGGATAGAAGCAATGTGCATAATGAATTATTTCATTACAAATAACAATTGACATTTCATGTTCCTATTCAGAGATATGAAAATTACATAGGAACTGACATAAGTAACTGACTCAGTCTCATACCAAAATAATGCAAACTACTTCTCCCAAATTACGAGATTAACAACAAGAAGCCTAACCTTGATGTGTCAGTTTGATAAAAAACTTATAAAATAGTGCACAGAATTAAACAAAACAACAGACAAGAACAACAGTAACCAACAAATGTACAAGTATGGAAGGAAATACAAGTGGAAAGGTCTTGGAATGGTTTATTGGCATTATAATTTAATCATAAAATAGTGACTAATGCATCGTGCAATAATTTCAAGTGCAAACAGGTCACATAATGATTTTATCACAGTAATGTTAAATTCTTAATATTTATATGTATAAGTTTAGAACTTAGGCTCATCAACATAAAATGTAACATTGAAGTGATGCATAGTGCAGTGTACAATAATTCCAAGTGCAAAACAATTCAGGTATCAGTTTTATCACAGTAACTTTACATTTTATTATTATACACATTTGGAAATAAGCCAACACAGATGTCAGCTGGTGTCTAATACAGTAACATCAGTTTTGCAAAAAGGAATGTAACATATCCTGAACATGACCAGTACAGTCAAAACATGTTTCTAGAATGAAATACTGTATATGATTTACTACAATTGTGTACAAGGGTTATGTGGACTGTATATATATGAATAATAGTTATTATTATGAGTATGTATTTGGGTATAAATACTGATGGAACAGTGGAATTGTTGTTTCTGCATGAACAAGTAGCCCTGTCCTGAAGCTGGATGTTTCACAATTTAGAACTGTTGATGGAAACATTGACTTAGGTAGAAGTTGTGTACTGATATCTTCGTAAGAGGGTGCATGTGAACTGAGAGGTTGTTGGATTTCTGTTGCAGACTCCTCAAATTCTGGAGGTGAAAATATGTATACAATGATGAAGTCTGTACCAGGAGGAAGCATGCCAGGGGTGAGTGTGATTCCAGTATGAAATACTTAATGCATTTGTGTCTTAGTGGGTATGTGCAATAGTAACTGATGTTTACCATGGGTGCAGGATTTTCCAATGGGTGGTGGGCCAGAAGGTGGACCCATGGGACCTATGGGGCCCAGCACCATGGGTCCAGTGATGAATGGAGATGGGCTTGATGGAATGAAGAACTCTCCAGCCAACGGTGGGCCTGGTACTCCACGGGAAGACAGCGGGAGTGGGATGGGAGACTACAACTTAGGGGGCTTTGGGGGACCTGGGGAAAATGTGAGTATGAGTGCTGGCAGCTATTTCTCGGAGACATAGTTCGATACTGATCTAATCTGATCAGACATTTGTGCACGGTCTAGGCTTTATTCAGCCTTGTCGAGGAATCCGTCCATCCTCAGTTGGCCACAACGGTATGGAATTTATCTTTTCTCATGTTTATTTTGTAAATGAAATGTAGCACATTTCTAAGGATGTGGGCTGGGTACTTAAAATTTATGCACCAACTGTAAAATAATATGAATAAATTTTAGTTTAGATGTTGGTGGTGAGCCTTAGTGTTAGGTGCCAGCATTTGCGTGATTTTTCTGCCATGACAGACTATGAAAACATTGATAAACAATGCACAGGTGTGAAAGTTGAAATAGTTGGAATGTGAAATTAGAAAAATGAATTTGCACGTCTTTGTAGGTAGAGTGTTGAAAGTCAGTTGCAGCATTGTTGTATTGGCATATTTACTTGATTTGACAAACCAAGATCTTAGTTGATTGAATGCTGCATTTGCTAGAACTGAGGGTTCTTTACAGTATTTATGTAAGCAGGAAGTAGGGAGGATGCTTTGCTCTGGTGTGTTCCATTCGTCAGGGTTGCGTTCTGATCTCAGCGCATGGCCAGGGAGCGGAGCTTGCAACCATGGCGAGTCTGGGTGCACCTTTTGGAAATGTAGTTGTGAGGAAATCCTGTAAAATGTTTGGAAAGGTATTAAAGTTGTTTTGAATGCTCAGAATGCCTCGTGTTAATGCGCTTGCCCCTCCCTACTGCCTTCGTCACATAATTAACATGTCCGCCCGCCAAACTCACACGATGCCGTGATGACGGAAGGGTGTGTTGCATGAACCAAATTTCTTGAAATAATTTTCGATAAAGTTTCTTTCGGGTGTCATTGAAATTGATAGAGCATTTTATTTGCAAAGAGGAGAGGATGAAGGGGGAGAGAGCAAGATTCTGTAGATGTCTTGAAGTTTGGACTGTGCAGTGAACCCTTTCTTCCTTGCAGGACCAAACTGAATCAGCCGCCATTCTGAAAATTAAGGAAAGCATGCAGGAAGAAGCGAAGAGGTTTGAAAAAGACTCCGACCATCCGGATTATTTCATGCAATAACACCCCGTCCCTGGCCCGTCCCCTTCCCCTCCTGGGCTCCTCTCCACTCGCAGGCAGTCCTTTCCTTCTCCAGTCCTGGGACCTGGATACAGACAGAGAATCAGATTGTTGTAAAATCAGATTGCAGTCTGCACATTTACTGCTAAAGGAAGTTTAAATCTGGTGGCAGTGGCCATATAGGAAAATGGAATTTCTTGTCCTTTCTAAAGAAATTTGAGATATTTTGTTTTGGGTTTGGTGTTACTTGTTGTTGAACATGTTCCTATTTTCTGTAAGGAGGTGAAGAGACTAGCAATCTGATTCCTTGAGGTATTCTGCAAGTGTGAGTGATAGACAACAGAAAAGTGATTCAGTGACAGTGCAATTTAATTTGATATATATGAGCACGACACAAGCGGTATGTATCATGTACAGACAGCAACATACTTTGTTGTGAATCAACACACCAACAAACCGAGGAGCTTACTTGCCTGTATGAAGGAATTACAAAGATGTTCCCTGTAGCCATAGATCCACTCTGACCCCACCTTGTCCCTTCCCAGACTTATAAAACTGATGTATCTCTCCCATAGAGAACCCTAATGCTAGGGCTCAGCAGATTTACATCATTTTTTATATTATTTATATTCAAACAAAATATCCCATTTAAAATTGACCTTTCTATGACCTGAAGAAAATGCCATTCACTTTAAATTTTAGGCTTATTTACATCTGTGTTCTGAAAACTGTTGTGTACATTTTGTGCCACTTGTATATGTACCTTTTGGTGTAATATTGCCCCATCTCCATCATTCAACCCCTTTGATACCTACTGCATTCATTATCTTAGTTTAGAAGGCTGGGATATGACCCCAGACTCTATTGGAAGGGACATAGTACCGTCTTGCTGCTGTGTCCATTTCAAATGACTTTTCTGGTTCTTGTCCAATGCAGAGGCTCCACCTTTGACAACTTATCAAGCAGCATCCAGATTTTAAGCATTTAGTTGTATTTGGGTTTGTTTGTTGGCTGCAGATAATGCTGAGTTCGGTAATTAAATCCGTCAAATTTGGGTCGGAGCATTTTGCGTACTTAAGGCACACAGCTGAATTCCCATGTCCAAGGACAAATGGTTTGAATCTCTGAGTAGAAGATGCATGGCAGCTTCCCATGTTTAGAACCGGCAAAGTCTGGGGAGCACCCTGCCATGTTGTTTATAAAGTAAAGATGGAAATGTTTCCTCCATGAGACATGGTATCTTAGCTATATTGCTGATCGCAAACAGTCTCTTAATTTATATTGTTTCTCAAACCTTTGGTAATGGAAACCTTGCCATCTTTATGTTTTGACAACCACATATTGCCTGTTATTTGGCACAAGTATGAAACAACCTGAGAGTGTACATACCCTTGGATGTAAATTGTTTGAGAGGTTCATGTTGGGTCTGAAGTCACACACTGTAAATATACGTTTTTCCATAGAACTGTGTACAGACTAGCCAGCCCCATGCTTGACAGGAGGGCCGCAGTGTGAAAGACGTTAACAGCTTGGATGAGACAGTAATAATAGTATGTTGGAATTACTATACTGGTCTTGCCATATCGAAGCTCTAGCGTATAAGTAGAATCATCTGATACACAATCAACAACTTTTACTCTGTTTTATTTTCATGTGATAACTGAAGCACTACTCCAGCAACTTTTGTGTTAATGTGCTCCATTAAGCCTTATTTATTTCTACCTTCATGTTTTTGTTAGTCCAAAATAGGTATTTCTGTACCAGAAATTGACCTCAGCTGCTTGGTGCTATTCAGGATTTCACTTTCTTCCTATATTTTTTCGTAGTTCTTATTCTTATTTATTAATTGGTTCATTATTGATTTTAATGATGGAGACTTTTCTCTGAAAAAGGCAAATTATGTCTGTCTGTGACAAATGACAAACACCCAATTTAAAAATCAACAAATATCACAATTTTGGCAGTCCTGTGAATGATTTCCTCGTAACAGTTTTCTCTTTCAAATTCCAGTTTTCTAGCAGTGACCAGTTACTGTACGCTGGGGAATGTGCTCAGTAGTTGCAGGATTGAAGAGATCTTTTCAGAAAATTGGTAGGTCTTATCAATGCAGAAAAGATATGTGGGAACTGCCCACATTCAAGCAAGTGTGACAACGCAAGCATCATTGCTTAGCAACAACGAGTAAACAATGGTTGCTAGGCAGAAGCAAGTAAACAGCGGTTGCTAGGCAAAAGCAAGTAAACAGCGGTTGCTAGGGAACTTGTAAACACGGTAACCGTTGTTTACTCGTTGTTGCTAAGCAATGACGCTTGCGTTGTCACACTTGCTTGAATGTGGGCAGTTCCCACAGATATATACATATATTTGCCATTTTGCATTTCTGTATGTTTGACATACAAACAAACCACTTCACAAAACAAAGGATTTTCTAGTTCTCTTGCATCTACTTTTCTGAACCATGGACTGCATTGCTTTGTTACTTTTATCCTATGTCAAATCTCCAGAAAGAGAGAGAAAAAATAAAAATAAAATACAAACTCGTCCCATTTTGTTGGTGGAGTAGACCTAGACTAACAGTGTAAGTACCGTAGTCACGTAGAAGAGTATTATTATAATTATGTGTAGCAATTTTGAGTAAAAACGAGGCTGGTGCACACTCTCTCTTTACTTTTCCTGTCCTGATATTTTTCCTTGGCTGTTTTCTAAGACCCCGATATTCTCATGATGTTAAGAAAATGATGAATTGGTAAAATGTGATGTATGATGTGACCAGTGTCGCAATTCAGTGACTCTGTAGATCCACATTCAGTTTCTTAATTGATCCACATGTTGATACATCAACACTTATAATGCACAGATATGAAAAGTACCATAAGCAGGAAGTTAACTTCTTGTAGTAAACTGAATGCTTCTGAAGGATTATGGAAGCTCACAGTTCACATCTTTTCTTCAGGATACTGTTCTTTTATTAGAATTCTGTTGATGAAAATTAAATATTGTGTGGGAAGAATATGACATCTGCATAATTTTCAAAAGTGTTATAAAATTTCACCTCATTATTATTTATTGCCAGTACATCTCATTCATTAGTGTGGTCCTCTATACATTATTCATGATTATCTAACAACTTAGAAGAGATTCACTGGAAACAAAATAGTGGAACCATGTTCCAGTATGAGTTGGAGAAAATTTGACCTGTAAATTTTTATTCTGGAATTAAATGTATGCAATATTCAGCTCTCCTAATGCCACATATGAATTCTCAATTCTGGTTATGGTTATGTTACTTCATCATTTAGAATTGCACTGTTATTATAAATTATTGATTCAGTGAAATTATATATTAAATTCAAAATCACATTTAAATGGGGTATTTGCAGACACTATTTTATTACCAGGTTTAATTAATAGCCTACATAACATACACAAATGGTTTGTATGTATAAATACATCAAATAATGCTTAATTTTTTTTTGATATGCTGAGACAGGGTTACCTTCATTAAGTCAGTGAGCTCTGCATATTTGAGATGTTTCAACAAGGAAACTGCCACATTTCAGATAAACTAAAACTACTTTAAAAATTGTGCTTTAAAATAATATTTTAACATAATTTAAACCCTTTCAGTATCAGACCACCATCATCCTACATGCCATACAGTGTTTGCTTAATTTGCAAATACTGTGTTGAGATAAAACTGTTGATATATGAATGAAACTGCTACCATACAGTTCATGAAGGGATAATTGTATTCTGAAATGGTCGATAATCTTAGCTACCAGCATTTGCATTAAATGAAATGTAAATAAATGTAAGTAATGGTGGCATTTCATACAGTTTACCTCGCCAATGATGTGATCAGTCTTGGCACTATAAGAGTTTATGCACTGTGTCTAAGAAGCATAGTGTCTGGTCATTTGTATCAGGATTAATTTAAAACGTAATTTAATGTTACTGTAACCAGCATGGTACTCTTAGGCTTGCCTCACTTATTTATAGATCCAAATTTTGTCCAGAGCACAAATATTTTTGGAAATTTTATGACTTGATTATAGCCCTTCTTACTGTCAAATTTTATGACCATTTGTCATTTCCTTCATTACTCTCAAATTTTATGATGGTCATAGCCATTGCTAACATTCAGGGTGTTGCCTTCAGTCATTTCCCCATGCAGACAAAAAACAGTCAAGCAGATACTGACGCAAGTCTGGGACACATACGCCTTGAAATTCATAATTTAACATGAAAAGTAATGGTCATGTACAGATAAAAGAGGTTGGAGTTTGTGGTTAGTGGGTTTAGAGCTGTGAGGAGTGTTGTAAACTTGGTGGTGAATTTTTGGGTGTAATTGAGGAAAAAGGTGGAATTATTCCTGCTTCTACTCTTGGCACTGTTGAATTGATTGAATATATTACTTACTTACTCATGAAGCTGAGCCCTTTTTGAGGAGCCCCCAATTCTGTGGCTACTCAAGACTTTCCTAGCATTTTATGGAACCTGAAGGTTCATTACCATGTTCACAAGAGCCCTCCACTGGTCCCTATCCTGAGCCAAATCAGTCCAATCCATACTATTCCATTCAATATCTTTTAAGATCCATTTTAATATTATCCACACACCTATGCCTTGGTCTTCCCAGTGGTCTCTTTCCATTTGGCTTACGAACCAATATCCAATATCCATTCCTTGTCTCCCCCATTTGTGCTGCATGCCCTGCCCATGGCATCCTCATTGACTTGATCATTCTAATTATACTTGGAGAAGAGTACAAGTTATGAAGCTCCTCATTATGCAGTTTCTCCACCCTTCTGTCACTTCATCTCTCTTTGGTCCAGATATTCTCAACACCCTGTTCTCAAACCCTCAGTCCATGTTCCTCCCTTAATGCCAGAGACCAAGTTACTCACCCATACAGAACCACAGGCAAAATTATAGTTTTGTATATTCAAATTTTTATATTTCTGGACAGCAGACGAGAAGGCAAAGGGTTCTGGACTGAATGATAGCAAGCATTACCAGAGTTCAATCTCCTCTTAATTTCCTCCTGAATCAGGTTTTGATTTATTATTGTCGTTCCCAAATACCTGAACTGTGCCACATTTTGAAAACATCTGTTACGTATCTTTATCTCGTAATTTTGCCCTGCAATCTGGTGACAAGACAGCAACATATAGATAGTTTTCTCTGTGTTTACTTCTAGACCAACCTCTTTACTTGCGTCATTTAAAGTTTGTGTTTTTCTTTATGGTATCTACGTGTATATTATCACCCAGTAGATTCACATCAGCATAGACCAACAGCTGATGTGTCCCGTTTAACTTCAGTCCCACCTTGTGATTAAATATATACAGTAAGTAATTTACAAATGAATGCACACACACAAATGCATATATAGTTTGAATCAGTTCTGTTGGGTGTATTGAATAAGAAGGTTAGTTCTTCCCATTTGAAAACTAATAGAATTATAGAAGAGAAGCAGAAATGTGCTGAATGTAGCTCTATATGGTTATTGACTATGTTGGTATTATGAATATCAGTTTACCGGTTTGTTAGAAGACCATTTGTGTCTGAAATACACCAACTGTGAACTGTTCTGTGGGATAAAATCTGAGAAGTAATGAACAGAAGAAGCCACAGGTGAGTAGTCTCATCTATTCTCTATCCATGAAATATATGCATATTCTTGAGAATGAGCAGAGTAACTTTTTCTTCATTGGAGTAGTGTTCATACAGTTCACTGGTTAGCATACTTTACTCAAAAGGCTAAAATTGAAGGAAAAAGCTCCTCCTGCCATCTGTGGTTGAGAATGGGGTCCTGTGTGTAGTAAATTGTGTAGGCTGCATGTGACTTCTAGAGACTAATGAAAGTACTGCAGTAATGAGCATGTGATGGATAGCATTGCTGGGGAGTGACAAGTTGGCCATTTGGGTCCTGTTCACAGTATTTTGCATATGCATTCTTTTCCTAAGGCAATCCAAGGCTGAATGACCAAATTTCCCACAACAGCAGTGTTCAGTTGCCATTGTATGTCAAGTTTTGAAGTTATGAACTCAGATCTAATGAATGAGGAGAGTTCAAATTGATAAAATCTATGGCTTCCAGAAACTATGATTTTGTATCATTACATAACATTTGTGATCTAAATTATTTTAATTTACTGACTTTTTTATGTACTATAACAATTTTTAGACATTTTGGTAATGAGCTGCATACACAGGTGTGAATTCTCACTACTGTATAACAACATGTAGACTTTGGTAGTTATATGTAATTTTTGGCATGAAGCAAGTTTAGATAACATGAATAATTTCCTCAGTATTTTACTGTCAAGGATAGTGCTGCACGGTCATAAAAATCAGCACTTCGTTTGGTAAATATTCAGTAACACTGGTTACACCATTGGGCTGAGGATAGAAATGGCAGATGTTTGTAATTAAACATGATGCAAGATTACATGATTCTGCCATCTGTTACCATAAATTACACAAAATCAAATACTAATCTGTAAGCACAGGCTTGACTGGATTGTGACAAACCTATTTCATCTGCTTCATGATTTCATTGGCAAGGTGATGTCACATTAGGTTTTCCTTTGTTTGTTTATGTTCTTTGAGGATGGACAAGTGAATATACCAAGTCAAGAGCTTTGTAA